CCCAAATTTCAGGTCGGGCCGTGCCCAGATTAGAAATGACAGTTCTATCTATGGCTGAATGTGGGGGCCTTGGTGCTCTGACCCTGGCTTACCAATGCTGGCTCTTGGGACATGGAAGATGACCTCGCTGACAAGGAGGGAGCCTGAGCTCGTGCGTGAGGTTGAGGGGTACTGACTAGATATAGTTGGGCTCACCTCGATGCACACCATGTGCTCTGGAACTAAGCTCCTTGAGAGGGGCTGGACCTTATTCCACTCTGGAGTTGGTTTACGGTGCCCTGAGACAACTTCTGCTGAGACTTGGCACTCTATAAATGAAGGGAACTAAACTGACTTGAATAAGTCACTTGGCACCAGGACGCCCTAGGTCGTATATCGATGACTGACTTTGTAGACATGTCATCTGATTTGCAGGACTGTTTGTTTTGGACACTTGGGTGAAGAGAGGAGCTGAGCTGTCAACTGATCACCACATATAGTGAGTTGGATCAGATGGCGAGGGAAGATGCCTGACAGACCTGGTAGATCCAAATGTGTAGTGAGGGTTTACTGGAAACACCTGGCAGAAGAACCCCGGGGACGACCCAGACTGCTGGACACACAATGTCTCTGTGTGGGTCTGGGAACACCTCGGACTCCTCCCAGAAGATTGGAAGAGGTGACTGTAGGAAGAGATGTCTGGACCTCAAGCTGCTGCCTCCGCGACTTGACTTCGAAACAAGCAGAAGATAAAGATGGATGGATGTCTTCTTTCTGTTAACACATTGCATTTATTTAGAGCTTTAAAGTCTTGTAATAATGATAAGTTACAATTATCCAGTGATCCCAAAAAGTACGGTAAGCCAAATGAAAATATCTTCAACCTGGTTCTGAACAATCTGTAAACAGGAAAACTGCACACATATTTAATGTTCATTGACAGTTTTTCAGTATTATTCACCTGCAAAGTGAAAACATTAAAAATGACTACAGCAGAGTTTTAGTTTACGTTTCCATGGCAACACTGGAGCTGCATTTGTCCCTCTATGTGATTCATTTTTCACTTTGAACTTAATTATTGTTCATGGATGCATGTCAGATGTTTAGCTGCCCGCTCTTATTGTTTATATGGTTTTATATATACAGGTGCTGGTCATAAACTTAGAATATCATGAAAAAGTTGATTTATTTCAGTAATTCCATTCAAAAAGTGAAAATTGTATATCGTATATATTCATTACACACAGACTGATATATTTCAAATGTTTATTTCTTTTACTGTTGATGATTATAACTGACAACTAATGAAAACACCAAATTCAGTATCTCAGAAAATTAGAATATTACTTAAGACCAATAACAAAGGATTTTTAGAAATGTTGGCCAACTGAAAAGTATGAACATGAAAAGTATGAGCATGAAAAGTATGAACATGAAAAGTATGAGCATGAAAAGTATGAGCATGAAAAGTATGAACATGAAAAGTATGAGCGTGAAAAGTATGAGCATGAAAAGTATGAACGTGAAAAGTATGAAACTGAAAAGTATGAGCATGAAAAGTATGAGCATGAAAAGTATGAACATGAAAAGTATGAGCATGAAAAGTATGAGCGTGAAAAGTATGAACATGAAAAGTATGAGCATGAAAAGTATGAACGTGAAAAGTATGAACGTGAAAAGTATGAAACTGAAAAGTATGAGCGTGAAAAGTATGAACATGAAAAGTATGAACATGAAAAGTATGAACATGAAAAGTTTGAACATGAAACGTATGAACATGAAAAGTATGAACATGAAAAGTATGAGCATGAAAAGTATGAGCATGAAAAGTATGAACATGAAAAGTATGAACATGAAAAGTATGAACATGAAAAGTATGAGCATGAAAAATATGAGCATGAAAAGTATGAGCATGAAAAGTATGAGCATGAAAAGTATGAACATGAAAAGTATGAGCATGAAAAGTATGAACA